CCGCGTCTCAGGGGTGGCGGGGCCCCAATATGTGTGGAGGTGCGGCCGATCTAGAAGCGACGGCGTTGGCTTCGACGGCGGCGGCGGTCGGCCCTGCCTCGGGCCACGGGCGGTGGCGCGATGCGGTCTTCGGCGGCATGTCATCTGGCTTTAGATCGGCGGCGGCGTCGAGGGCCTGGTGGACTGCTTGGCGGCACCCATGGCAGATTTGTTCTGGCTGGTGTAGCCAGTGGTGGTGGTCATCTTCTTCGTCGGTGGTGGCCGGCCATAAGCTTGGTGATCGGATCTCGAGATCCATCATCTAGTCCTGGCTGCGAGTTGGGGAGACATGGTTGCCGGTGAAAACCGAGCCGACGGTAGGCGATGGCGGCGGTCTACGCCGTTACCTTGATGAAGGCATCATCGTGTAACTACTGTCGACCCACTCGTGCTGCTCCGGGGGAAACCTTAGGATCTAGTGTTCCAGATCGGACGATGGCGGCACTGCGGTGTCGTTTCTCTCTTGGGAGCATCGTTTGTGGAGCAGCGCTGGAAGTCAATGGCAGGAGGTGGAGCGGCTTTGTCTTGCACGGAGCTTCGGTGGAGATGTCAAGTCATGCATGACCGACAGGTGCTACGCTTTGTCATGCCTGGTCGGCAGGTGCTACGCACGACAGATCTTCCAAGGACTTCAAGCTGTGTCGGCTGGTGGTACTTGGCAGCATGGCGCTGAGGTGTATCAGTGGCGACCGCGACGCGCTCAGCTGTTTGCGCGCAGGGAGGAGGTGGCGTTGGGCGCCGTGGTGGCGTCGACGATAGCTAGACCGAGCAAGGTTGATGCATCAGTACAGTTCTGAAGATGGAGCGATGGCAATTGGCGGCGGCGGCCTCTGAGAGCACGCCGGACCAGTGAGTGCCCCAGACCCGTCAAGTGGCTAGGTTGGGGTCTCAGGTCTTAGATGTTAGGCTTGGCTGCGATGTCTGTTTGGTATTAGGCCCAGGCTATCTACGCCCCTTCATCAACTGGATAGGTGTAACGACATTTGTTGCTTAGATGGCGGCTTTAATCTTACTGTTGTATGACTTTGTAAAGTCTTGTGAGAATAATTAATAAAGTGGTCGTATGCATCGCCCAGATGCAGAGGTCGGGGGTCATCCTCTGTTTCTAAAAAAAAGATAACGGTAGACAACAATAAGTCTATAATTCAGCAAGAAAAGAAAAAACTAAACCTGTAAATTTGTATCTATTAATTCATATCGGAACACTTGCTAAAGCACTATACATGACAGAAGCAACATTCGCGCATAAAAACAGTGCAAAGACAAAATAAAAAGACCTAATTGGGAAAAACGACAAGGACGTAACAAATGATTGAGTGTGTCTTTTTTCCTTGGCCTGAAGCACCCGTTTTTGTGGAGTTGTTGATTGATGAACGAATCGCTTCAATAGCACCTCCACCTCATTATCTTGGACTAGCGGCATCTCCCACTTCGCCATCTCAGCCTCCTACTCATTCTTCTCAACTGTCCGTACTTCCAATATGTCCTTCCAATATGATTACAGACTCCCCATAAATCCTCATGTTAATGGGAAAAAATACGAGAGATATGAGCCAAGGGTCCAATCTACAATGGCGCAAATGAACTTCAGGGGGACTGGATCAACTCCTGTAGCCAAAAGAAGGAAAAAAAACACTATCCAATGTTTCTTTATGATCTTCCAAGCCTACGTCCCAACCTATGACTCTAGAGCAAGAAGAACGTAACATGAAAATACCTCAATAAATGCCAATCATGCCCCTGATCTCTTCATCCTCCATTCTCAGAGACACAAATTTAATAATATGGAGAGTGTTGGGATTTAAAATGATGGTGAGGGTAAGGTTTTTATAACTGATTGGTTTCTTTGTTTGACTCCCTAGTGACAAACTGTGAACTATAGTGACGGTGAAATATGAAATCCTTAATTTTAATTTATATCAACTCCATCATCATATTTATATATAGGCATTACATTGCCGCAATGTAGCAACGCCACACAATATTAATTACTAGGGGCTCTTGGACGAATAACGGGAAGAGCCATCATGCATGCTTTAGATAAACTAGTGTTAGTATAGTAGGATCTGACTATCGTGTAGAAGGTCTGATTTTCAAGTAATTCAGCAACTGAATCTTATTTGATTTAATCAACCAATATTTAACTTTTTGCTAAGATTCCTGTGCTTTTTCATCGGGAGATCGCAATCTCCTAATGTAGGCAAATTATGATAGAACAGTCAGGGCCACATATTGAGACATCATGTACGCGTTGTTCGTATGGTAATACAACAACAATATATAGTCATACAAAATAAGGGAGATGCTAAACACCTTCTTTAGCATGACAAACACTATTAAGATGATGAGACTATCGAAGGTGAAATACTTTTTATATATAGAAACAGAACTATTTATTCACTTATTAAACACACATGCCGGCCATAATGTCTTGTTGCCATCTTTCGGAGGACAGTCCGTTTATTCATGGGACACATGCCTGGCTAGCATCCAAACATGGCCGAAGCCTACGATCTACTACATCTTGTTCATACATTGCCAAGATAAAAATAAGCTGACCCTTGCTGGCCATCAGCTGGCACATAGTTTCCAACCCCGTCCATTACAGCTGCAACAGAACTCATCATCTGCTGCTCACACCGCATTGGCTGCTGACCCACTTGTTGATTATATATGGAAGGGGAGCACTGAGTTAGGTTGTTCATGACTGCGAACGAGCTCGTCGGAGCCTGCAACCTAAAGCTTGGGTCATTATTGAGGCCGGTGAAAGAAAGGGTTTGCCGAGGGGCAGAACTATTATTTGCTGCCAATAGCTCATTGTCATGGAGCCTGACATCATTGATGCTGTAACGCTTTGTCCCTGACGATCCCTTTTTCTGTATTCTCTTCAAAAACTTTTGTGCATGGCTTGAAACTTGAACAGGGGTCTTAGTGGTGACGAAGTGCTTAGATATGTTTTTCGAGTCGCCACGGCCATAGACTTCCAGCCCATAAAGAAATGACCTGTGGACACAATGTTCAAAAGAATTGTTAGGTTAAATTGTTTATTGAAAGATAAACTGTGCAGTTGTTTTATTGAAGCAACTACTACCTCCGTCCCGGTGTATAAGTCATTCGCGTAGTTCTAAGTCGATAATTTAACTATCTAAATATGTATTATATGTGACAAAAAATATATATTTAGAAACTACATCCGTGTGGAAATCTAGTGGTATACTTTTCATGACATATAACACATATTTAATTCCTCAAATCGATGACCTAGAACTACGCGAATGACTTATACACCCGGACGGAGGGAGTAATATAGATTGAAGCTGTTAGAAAAATTTGTTGACGGAGATGTTTCGAAGATGATGAAGCGGCTTCAAGGCGCGTGACGGTGTCGCTTTCCTTAAGGCTTATTTGTCCCCACCAGAAGGTGTGCACTGGGTTACCAACAATAGCCTCGTAGGATACAATGAAGTCCGTCGCCGGCAAGTGCACTCTTGACAACGACCTTGAACACTCTTGTGACAATACAGGACTATCAATGTTACTAGAATACAATGCCCTGCAGCAAGCACTGTACACTAGAGATCTAGCGAGAGAGAGCACTGGATGTTTGGTGGTATGCCATGCTTCCTTTTTCACTTCTTTCTTGTGCAAATGAACTAAAAGCATCCTCCAGTATTTATACTTGCCCAAGGGTTGCTTGGAGGAGACACCTGCCCAGAAAGACGCTCGTTCGATTAGGCACCTATTCGGAACGTGCGGCCATCAGTATAAAGCAACAGATGTCGCTTCAGCCAACAGACGTCTCTTCGGCATCCAACCGCCACCGATTCACATACATGCATGCTAGTGGCCGACCGGGACATCAGTTCATTGCTGAGACGTGCAAGTGTGTGCTTGCTTGCATGCACTTTAATGCATTAAATAATGCACCCACGGCCATACCCTTAATTAGCCCAAGATAATTAGGCAAAGCATATTTTCTTTCTCACTCTTTATCCTATTTACATGAGACACAAATATATTCCAAAATACAATAACTTTATTTATTTTGAAAATATCCAACAGAAGCAAAGTTCCAATTTGACAGGTTCGAACCACAACAACAACACATGCTTACTTTTGTTTACGGGTACTGGATAGAATATATGTATATCAGAAATCCATTAGTGAATGAATATTTTGTAACATATTGACAACCAAAACATATTACAAATTCAAAATTACCATACCTCTATTTTCTATAGTGAAACGACCATCATTACAGGTTATTGATCTGTTTGATTGTGACAAGACGTACCATATTGGAATTCAATGGCCTAATTTACTGCCTTTATATTTTTTTAAACAAGGTCCAATCACATATTTTTTTTAAGCCAGAAAGAAAGTTCATCAATATCTAATTTGCAGGTATTATTATTTATCAAAAATGTATATTGTAAACGTCCAGATATACATTTAGTAAAGTGCAATATCAATTTAACACACCTGCCTCATAAAATTAATTCACAGAGCTTAATTATCATGTGTCGATTTTAGATAAAGAACAACTAAAACTACATGACAAGGAAGAATATAGGTATCGACTAACTTGTGTTCCTCTTTGGTCCAATACTTTCGTTGATGTGCGGCAACAACTGGTCGATCAGTGGAAGTATTGTTCTCCAAGACCACCACCTTGTTCTTGTCTACCATCATCGGAGCCTCCTCCATCTTCCTGATTCTTGTATCCTCCAATGCGCAACGAAATGAAAATCCATTATCAATCATGGTCGTATCCTCGTCCTCTTGTACCTCAAAGTTTTCATTAACAAGGCTACCCATGCTGTAAATGGAAATTGACAGTGTCCAGTGTACATTTAGTAAAGTACAATATCATCACAAACATAAGCTACTGATCTCACATAATAAATATGCACAACATTCTTAATTAGTATACGTTCACTGAAAACAAACAACAATTAAAACTACATGACAATGGAGGGTATACAACCATGGACGAACATGTGTTCCTCGTCGATCCAAAAACCCCATTGATGTGGGGCAACAACTGGTTGATCTATGGAAATATTGTTCTCCAACACCTCCATCTTGTTGGTGTCTGCCATCAGCGGTGCCTCACCCGTCACTGTGATCCCTGTATCCTCCATTGCACAACCAAAGGACAATCCATTATTGTCCATGATTGTTGCCTCGTCTCGTACACCGAAGTTTTCATTCGCATGGTCGCCCATGGTGTAGATACTGTGTGTGCTGCTAGCACCATTCTCCTCCTTCGGTAGCTCATAGTTACCGTTGACAGGGTCACACAAGGTGAAAATGTTTTGCGGGCTACCACTAGTAACATGGGTTCCCTCCCTCCGTTGGATCATATGCATTTCCACGGCGAGATTAATATAAAGATCTGTTACCTGTTTCATGGTATTTGAAGGAAACAATGCATGGAGAGAATTCACGATGTAGTTATGCTTCTTGTTCTTGTCATCGTTATCGTCGTACATGATTTTGTTGGTGTTGAGCCTAGCAATGAGTGAGCATGCCTCCTCTACCTCGGATGAGGTCCACCCCTGGTTGACTATTGGATCCATGAGAAAGTGGGTAGTTGAACGCTACAGAATTATGAGGAGTATGAACTATGAAGATGGGTTGTAGCTTGGGGATGGAGACTGGGGAGTAAGAAAGTGTATTTATAGCCCTCTTGTGTGCAGTCCTACTTTTGCTAATTAATTTGGCACATTGATAGTTTGCCGGTCCATACTGAAGTAGACTGAACAATAGTTAAGACAATTAATTCTTATGACCCTCTCAGGAACATGCCAAACTATTTAAAGTTGACCTCGACATTGTGGCTTTCTTTGAAAAAAATCTTTTCTTATTCTGCCAATGCAAATAATTGCCAGGGGCCTCCAAATATACGCAAGAAGATTGCTAGAAACAACACAAGCAGGCCTATTGAGTATTGATCAATTTCGGTGTAGATAGATAGAACTCGTATCTTGTGTGCATGCATGACATTTGTTCTCATCTTAGAATGCAAGACTCAAACCATGGTTTCTGCCGCTCTCAAATATGCAAAGCAAACAGGATCTCCATTCGGATTTGGCTAGTGACACATGCATCAATGGAGTTTTATTGCATACATATTTGCAAATAATTGATTAATATCTCCCCATGATAACTTGGCTACATATATGATCCACACACATTACCAGCGAAGGTAAGCATATCATTTCTCTTAATTTTGGTGATCATTCTTCCCACATCCAACGTACGAAATTCCATCTATAGGCAGATTTCTTGGCTTAGGTCATTTAATGGCACTTCATGGTAAAAAGATTCAATACATAGGCCAATCAACTGTGTACATATCTACATATCTTTTTTATATGTATATATAGAGATACAAATTAATAACCCATGAAGTCAATAAATTTGACACACTTATCTTCCATATCTATCTATCTCTCATGTTCAAATAATTTCAAGATTTCTACGTGATATTCACAAACATAGAGGCTGCAAAATGAACATAGGTTTTTTAAGTGCATGATGCATTGTCTAGCTATTATATGGGACTGCATGCATACTCATGCACTCATATGCTAATGTTTCAGCCATGTTCATAAATGGCTTTTGCTTCGTAGTTTTAAACTCAGTCTTAATATTGTGTACAAGTTATTAAACTAGATTATAGGAAAGGCATCAATGATAACGGGCTTCACAACTGTATTTTTTTCTAGTGAAGGAAAAAAGATTAGAACGTACGAGTATTAACTTTGCCAATTGTTAGGCCAGATTGCTACCTGATAAAATCATAGGAGGTTAAATTCTAACGGTAGCATTGTGAAGCATACCAACACCAAGTCTACATCACCGGAGCCAGGTAGTCCTGATAACTACAGTCGGGAAGTCGCTTGACGTTGCTAGAGATACTAGTGACAAAAATCTAAAGCACATACCTTCAGCACGGAGAACAAAAGGTGAGGGGCAGGCGAGGAGATCCAACCTACCACGTCGATGATATAAGCTCCATACCATGACTTATTGACGAGAGTACCAGCACCACCATTGATCGATGTGGAAGCATTGTAGTTGACGACTCTTCCTCCCCGCCCCCTCCACTGTTATGGTAGATCTAAATTGTTTTTTAATCCAGTTTTAACTATTTTGCTCAATGATTCTATCTTAAACATACATTTCTAACATGATAAAACGTCTAATTTCCTTATATTGAGCTGAAAAGGAGAAATAAATGGATTTCTAGTCAAATGCAGCAATTTGCAGAATTAGTCTAGGCTGCTTTGTAACCGGATGGAGTTTTTGCAATAATTGAGGGTGTTGGTTCACTTTTGGTCTTGCTTTTCATAAACATACACAAGCAAAACGACTACTGGTTTGACGTCAAGCAATGCATATATTGGGTTTTTCATTTTCCAATTTTGTTTTAAGTATATTTTACAATTTTTTGTTTTAGTTTACCATCTTCACTTCCTTTTTATTGTTGATTCCCTTTCTTTCGTAGTTTTTTTATCATTTATTGTGTACCCTACATATGGCACTCTGATACGTCTCCAACGTATCTATAATTTTTGATTGCTCCATGCTATATTATCTACTGTTTTGGACTATATTGGGCTTTATTTTCCATTTTTATATTATTTTTGGGACTAACCTATTAACCAGAGGCCCAGCCCAGAATTGCTGTTTTTTGCCTATTTCAGTGTTTCGGAGAAACAGAATATCAAACGGAGTCCAAACGGAATAAAATCTTCGGGAACGTGATTTTCTCACCGAACGTGATCCAGGAGACTTGGACCCTACTCCAAGGAGTCAAAGAGGAGGTCACGAGGGTGGGGGCCGCCCTAGGGGGGGCGCCCTGCCTCGTGGGCCCCTCGGTGCTCCACCGACGTCCTCCTTCCTCCTATATATACCTACATTACCCCCAAACGATCATAACAGGAGCCAAAAACCAAATTCCACCGCCGCAACTTTCTGTATCCATGAGATCCCATCTTGGGGCCTATTCCGGAGCTCCGCCGGAAGAGGGCCGTCATCACGGAGGGCTTCTACATCATCCTAGCCCCTCCGATGAAGTGTGAGTAGTTTACATCAGACCTTCAGGTCCATAGTTAGTAGCTAGATGGCTTCTTCTCTCTCTTTGAATCTCAATACAAAGTTCTCCCCCTCTCTTGTGGAGATCTATTCGATGTAATCATCTTTTTGCGGTGTGTTTGTTGAGACCGATGAATTGTGGATTTATGATCAAGTCTATCTATGATTAATATTTGAATCTTCTCTGAATTGTTTTATGTATGATTGGTTATCTTTGCAAGTCTCTTCGAATTATCCTTTTGGTTTGGCCAACTAGATTGGTAGTTCTTTCCATGGGAGAAGTACTTAGCTTTGGGTTCGATCTTGCGGTGTCCTTTCCCAGTGACAGAAGGGGCAGCAAGGCACGTATTGCATCGTTGCCATCGAGGATAACAAGATGGGGTTTATTTCATATTGCATGAATTTATCTCTCTACATCATGTCATCTTGCTTAAGGCGTTACTCGTGTATTAACTTAATACTCTAGATGCATGCTGGATAGCGGTCGATGAGTGGAGTAATAGTAGTAGATGCAGAATCGTTTCGGTCTACTTGTCACGGACATGATGCCTATATACATGATCATGCCTAGATATTCTCATAACTATGCTCAATTCTGTCAATTGCTCAACAGTAATTTGTTCACCCACCGTAGAATACTTATGCTCTTGAGAGAAGCCACTAGTGAAACCTATGGCCCCCGGGTCTATTCTCATTATATCAATCTCCATCACTTTAATCTTGCTTTGCTTTTTTACTTCGCCTTTACTTTTTACTTTGCATCTTTATACCAAAAATACCAAAAATATTATATCTATCAGATCTCACTCTCGTAAGTGACCGTGAAGGGATTGACAACCCCTAATCGCGTTGGTTGCGAGTAGCTATCATTTTGTGCAGGTACGAGGGACTTGAGCGTGGCCTCCTACTGGACTGATACCTTGGTTCTCAAAAACTGAGGGAAATAATTAGGCTACTCTACTGCATCATCCCTTCCTCTTCGGGGAAAACCAACGCAAGCTCAAGACGTAGCAAGAAGGATTTCTGGCGCCGTTGCCGAGGAGTCTACGCAAAAAGTCAACATACCAAGTGCCCATCACAATCCCTATCTCTCGCATTACATTATTTTCCATTTGCCTCTCATTTTCCTCTCCCCACTTCACCCTTGACATTTTATTCTCCCTCTCTCTCTCTATCCTCCCTCTCTATTTGCCTCTTTTGCCCGCTTGGTTTTTGTTTGCTCGTGTCTTAGATTGCTTATTTGTCGCGATGGCTCAAGATACTACCAAATTGTGTGACTTCACCAATACCAATAATAATGATTTCCTTAGCACTCCGATTGCTCCTCTTGCTAATACTGAATCTTGTGAAATCAATGCTGCTTTGTTGAATCTTGTTATGAAAGATCAATTCACCGGCCTTCCTAGTGAAGATGCCGCTACTCATCTGAATAGCTTCATTGATTTATGTGATATGCAAAAGAAAAAAGATGTCGATAATGATATCGTTAAATTGAAGCTATTTCCTTTTTCACTTAGAGATCGTGCTAAAACTTGGTTTTCGTCTTTGCCTAAAAATAGTATTGATTCATGGAACAAGTGCAAAGATGCTTTTATCTCTAAGTATTTTCCTCCCGCTAAGATCATCTCTCTTAGAAACGATATTATGAACTTTAAACAACCTGATCATGAACATGTTGCACAAGCTTGGGAGAGAATGAAATTAATGATACGTAATTGCCCTACTCATGGTTTGAATTTGTGGATGATTATACAAAAATTTTATGCCGGATTGAATTTTGCTTCTAGAAATCTTTTAGATTCGGCTGCGTGAGGCACTTTTATGGAAATCACTTTAGGAGATGCTACTAAACTCCTAGATAATATTATGGTTAATTATTCTCAATGGCATACTGAAAGATCTTCTAATAAAAAAGTGCATGCGATAGAAGAAATCAATGTTTTGAGTGGAAAGATGGATGAACTTATGAAATTATTTGCTACTAAGAGTGTTTCTTCTGATCCTAATGATATGCCTTTGTCTACTTTGATTGAGAATAACAATGAATGTATGGATGTGAATTTTGTTGGTAGGAATAATTTTGGTAACAACGCTTATAGAGGGAATTTTAATCCTAGGCCATATCCTAGTAATCCTTCTAATAATTATGGGAATTCCTACAACAACTCTTATGGAAATTATAATAAGATGCCCTCTGAATTTGAGAATAGTGTTAAAGAGTTTATGAATTCACAAAAGAATTTTAATGCTTTGCTTGAATAGAAATTGCTTAAAGTTGATGATCTGGCTAGGAACGTTGATAGAATTTCTCTTGAGATTGATTCTTTAAAGCTTAGATCTATTCCTCCTAAGCATGATATCAATGAGTCTCTCAAAGCCATGAGAATTTCCATTGATGAGTGCAAGGAAAGAACCACTAGGATGCGTGCTTCCAAAGATGCCTTTATTAAAGCGTGTTCCTCCAATTCCTATGAAC